ATGATGATCGCACTCGGTAGCAGGTAGCTATTGGTTATTTGGCTATTGATTGAGGGCATTGACACGTGGTTGACAATGAAATTAAAATTTGCTTACTTTCTAAAGGATGAACTGCATCCTTGATGGTCCCCACCTGTCATGGCCTGAGTTTCGGTGAAAGAGGTAAATCGCAGGTTATGCCTCAAATGGTATAGGGTGGAAGGTTACTTGTACATTTGCACTTGTCCAATGGTCAAATCCATATTTCAGGATTCGAACCGTTGACGCGATAGCCTCAAGCAAAGTTGGAGTTTTTCCACATTCCCATTTTCCCACTTGGAGATGTGTCATGGGGGCAAATTTGCTTACTTTCTAAATTTCATATATTGTGGTTATAGCATGAATTTCTTTCTTATTCTTTGTTTCCCCAAATGACCAATTTTACCATGTCACAAAGTAAGATCGAGTTTCCACATAAATAAAACTTTTGATTTAAAAAAGAAAAAGAAAAAGCACTATTAGGGCACGTCTCTTGGATCTTTTCTTTTGTAAGTATGCATCTACAGATCTTTTTCACTTTTGCCATATGTAATACTTTCGCTAGCTGTATAATTGTATGCATGCTTTACATGCTGTTACTATAAAAATTATGCCAGTTCGTTTTGTCTGATTGTAAAGTTTTTTGGTCATCATAGGCACTTAATGGTGTTCACTACTAGAACATGTGGCTTCAGAGACGGAAATTTCTGTCGCTGAAGCCTTAAATTCTGTCACTAAAGGCCTTCACAAACAGATTTTATTTGTCGGTAAATCCGTCGGTAAAACACCCGTCGGTAATTTTACTGACGAAATTCTTTGTCCGTCTGTAATTAGCGACGAAATATTCCGTCGGTATTTGGCAACGGACAAAATTGTAGCTAATTAGCAACGGTATTAGCTACAATTTTTCCATTGCAAATTACTTACGGATTTAGGTGTGTTGGTAATTAGATACCGATTTTCCGTCTCTATTTCCATCGCTAACTTGAAAAAAAAAATTGAATCCCGTTATGCCTCTGTTTCCACCCCTGTCTCGACCTCCTCCTGTGATTTTAGCAGCTCCATCATCCAAATCATGACCAATGCCTTAATCTAGAGAAAATCATTTTGCCCTGCAGAAGGCCTTGGTTGAAAGCTTTAAGATGATGATCGCACTCGGTAGCAGGTAGCTATTGGTTATTTGGCTATTCATTGAGGGCATTAACACGTGGTTGACAATGAAATTAAAATTTGCTTACTTTCTAAAGGATGAATCACATTATTGGCGGTCCCCATCTATTCTGTCATGAGCCTTGGTGAAAGAGGTAAATCGCAGATTATGTCTCCAATGGTACATGATGGAAGGCTGTTTATACACTTACACTTACTCAATGGTCAAATCCATATTTCAGGATTCGAACCCTTGACGCGGCAGCTTCAAGCAAAGTTAGAGTTTTTCCACTTTCCCCTTTTCCCACTTGGAGATGTGCCATGGGGGATTTGATTACTTTCTAAATTTCATATATTGTGGTTATAGCATGAATCTCTTTCTTATTCTTTGTTTCCCCAAATGACCAATTTTACCATGTCACAAAGTAAGATCGAGCTTCCACATAAATAAAACTTTTGATTTAAAAAAGAAAAAGAAAAAGCGCTATTAGGGCACGTCTCTTGGATCTTTTCTTTTATAAGTATGCATCTACAGATCTTTTTAACTTTTGCCCTATGTAATACTTTCGCTAGCTGTATAACTGTATGCATGCTTTACATGCTGTTACTACAAAAATTATGCCAGTGCGTTTTGTCTGATTGTAAAGTGTTTTGGTCATCATAGGCACTTAATGGTGTTTAAAGGAGAGAGAAGTCACCATTGAATTTTGTTTTACACAAATATTTCATATCACTTAATAGATGCATTTATATTTTGTTGTTCTTAGTTGGAAAACTGACTTTTAAAAGTGTTAAAAAATGAAATTGTAGATTTGAAGGTGAAATGCAAGAGCTCAATAAATGTAAATGTCAAAACGTAAAATTTCATGTATTTATCTGATTATATTTTGAAAATTTCTTAGAATATTTTGCAAATATGTAGAAGTGCAGGCAAAGATTAAGAGCTTGCAAACATTGATGATACCATATTATTGTCTAAGAGGAACATAAATAAATTGTAGTATGATATGGACATATATAAGTTATCGAGGGGAGAGGTTTAAGCTTTAAGGGAATCAGTTACGGGAGTAATCCAACATTTGTGGTAGAAGCAAACTGCACTGTATGACTTTTTATAGCACTATTTATTATTTTTATTATTATTATTATTATTTTGTGTTCATCCCTTTGGTAATAGTGCTAATAATAAATGTGATGTTATGAAGAGTTTAGCCCTGACTGAGCACCGATGCTAAAATTCTTGCGAGCTGTGGGTCACACGCATCCTTGGAGGAGTCACCTATGTGAAAGTTGCTATGAGGCAGTGGCTATGAGATTAGACTATACCCTAAAGACTCTTACTAGAACAAGATTAGAGCGTATGCCCATTTAAGTACTACCCGCTATGAATTAGAGCCTAAATCGATATTGTGTGTGGAGCAATGGCAAAAAAGGGACCTAATTCAAGGTTTAATCCATTATGGTTCCCTCAAATGGAAATTGTTATCACTAAGTGATGTTCAAATCCAAAAAATATCTACATCTATTACATAGTATAATGTTGCCGTTATATAATATATTTATCTATTTTGAAAGATTTAAACTTGTGGGGGGATTGTTGTAACATAAAAATAAAGTTTTAACCTTTCAATATTAAAACTATTTAATTTTATATTTTTGATTTAATTTTTAGTTTTAGCCCAAATTAAAAACATCATAATTCATATTGTAGCTTACATTTTAATTGGTTTAATATTCATGATTGTGGGGCTTAAACTTATCCCTATAAAATGGTGTCATCCTCCCTGAGATAGAGAATATGAGAAAACATATCTTGAACAAATACTACATCTACATTTCATACTATTTTCCTATATCTTGAAAAATTCAATTTGGACTAAAAGTCCAAACCAACTATACCGAACCGATTTGGTTTGGGTCGATTCGGTTTAATAACTAGAGTGGGTTGGTTTGAGTTGAAATTCACGCAAACAGACTAATTTGATTTTGGTTTCGGGTTGGAGTTAAAACCAATCCGAACCGAACTGCGCCCAGTCTAATTAGGACAAAACTAGCTTCCTGCAATAATAAAGTTCCAAACTGTGGCGTGATTTGCATAATCTTACCCCTTAAAAGAAAAGTAAATGGAGCTCATATTAGATGTCAGCCATGCAGGTGCAAAGAGACGAAACTGATTTAACACCTGACGACGGCGTGTAAGACCTTTAGCTGTCGATTTCTTTTTATTTATGCCCAATTACCCATAATCAACTCCATTTATCTTAATGCTAGAAATATTGTTCTAAACTGCTCGTCTAAGCAGAAAAATGGATAATCAATTCTACATTGACCGTCTGGATTTTATTTTTTTTTTTTTGGTCTAAGTGGTATTTTTATTGGAGGATGTTTGGAAACAAGTTGAATTGTTAATTTCAACTTATTAAATAAACAAGGAAAATGCTACAAGTACATGATTTTTTTACATATTTTGTACCGTCTCCCTGTGATTGTTTTTGGCAACAACCAATCACAAGAAAACATCTTCCTATACAAAAACTGTGAAAAAAATCATGTACTTGAAGAATTATTCAATAAGTAATTATGTATCAAGAGTTTCCCATTTCATTTATGCCGTAATTGAATAGGACCATTTCACTAGCCTCTTAGTGATGTGTGGTGGTTCATGAGGTCCGCGTGTACCTCATTGAAGATTTTGATCTTCAAAGTCATTATTGTTACTTTTTTGATTTTGATAGTTTCTGCGAGATTGTGATTTGTTTGCTAGAACCAATTGATCTTTTTGTAGAAACCTCCACGAACAATCATCGTTTTTTCACACAATTTTTAAATTAAGAATTAAGGGATTCATCATTAAAGGGGAGTATTTTAATCCAATAATAAATTAGTCAAATATAAATAACATGTAATATTTGTTGTTAATAACAAGTTACATATAGCTAATTAAAATTATACCATTATTGGTATGCTAATATTAATTGTGACCATTTACAACTTTGTCACGTCTCGTCTCTTTTAAATGTCGTTCAATTCAATGCGAGGATGTTAAAATCTGATTTGGATCATATGATCCTGCCTCTATAATCTCAAAATAGTAAAACAATCTGGACGCGTGAAATATCACGAATTGGTATGATTGTAATGGGATCACAAATTTTATCAAGATTAATACATATATTAACTTGTTCACAAAATACTTTTGAAATTCATGAAGACGAAGTTATTCATAATGATCATCTCGAGAAAGAAATCGATAATTTTTTTGATAAAAACGATGACTTCCAACTGCAAGACCGCTTCGCCGATCCAAGTCAAAATTACAACAGTAACAACCTTGATCCAGTGTTTACCAAACTTAAAAAAAAAAAAAGGAATTGAACAACTGTAAATGTCTTAAATTGAATGAAAGCCCTTTCTTGAATTGCTCATTTGTCCTACGTATGATTATTTGTAGGTCACTGTGTTAGACATCATGTTCTCCAAATGTATGTTGAAAATTCATTCGTGTTCAGTTTCAGCATATATACTTTTCTGCATACGTATAAGCATGGAGATGGGAAAAAAAGGCAGATGAGTAAGAAAATGTTTTATGTACTGGCGTCAGAATTTGCCGGGCACGTACACCTATCATTTAAAACTTACTGATGCTTATACATGCAATGCAATCCCCAAGAGACTTTGATCTTTCATTGGACAAATTTGTCTGTCCTTTTATTTCTCTTTTTTCAACTCTTGATCTCTATATAAAATTGCCTTTTCATTTCTTTGTTCTTTCATTCCCTTTTATGATCTCCTCTTCGTTTTCAAGAATAAGAATATCAAGAAAAAAATAGAAAATGCAGGAGGTGAAAGAATCGTCAACAATCCGAATGGACAGTGAAGAATCGAAGACGGCGAAAATGGAGTCAATCTATGACAGGATCAGCCGTTTGGTCTCCGGCAATGCGGTGGTCGTATTCACCATCAGCGGTTGCTGCATGTGCCATGTCGTGAAGCAGCTTCTTTTTGGCCTTGGAGTAGGCCCAATCATAGTCGAGCTCGACCGTGATGTTTATGGCAGTGACATTCACAGTCTTCTCCTTCGCCTTGCCCGTGCCAATGGCAAGCAACACGCAGTCCCTGCAGTGTTTGTTGGGGGCAAGTTCTTGGGTGGGATCGAAGCCGTCATGGCCTGCCATATCCATGGAACTCTCGTCCCTCTTCTGAAGGATGCCGGAGCTCTCTGGCTTTGATAATTTCATCTAGGAAAATTTCAGCCCTGCTGCCATTGTATGAAAAATAGTGTATATGTACACTACGAAGTACGCGTTTCATTCTATCGAATGGTGAGACAAATTTACGTTAACGGTCGGCGTTCTGCACCCCAAAATGGCACAACTATATTGCCATTAACAATGTAAATCTCTGCTATATGCACAAGTAGATGGATTACTGTTATATTATGAATTCAATCAAAATTAAATCTTAATTTTAAATATAAATCTATAATTACTACTTATTAATCCCAAATTTTGTTGGAACCACCGATGTTCTACGTAACATTCTTTTAAACCATTTATAAATTTGGCAAAGGGATGCTAAGTTTGAAATTATTTTGGTGACCTAATTATTTTTCAAAAGAAGTTAAAAAGTGTCAATTAACATAAAGTATGATGAACAACTGCAAAGAAAAGTAGCAGTTTGCAGGTGCGCGTGAGTGCTTGGATGATCAAGATTCAAGTTTTATGTTGTCGATTTTATATCGTAGAGAACGAATCATTAACAAGTAAGAAAATAGTAAATAGATTTCCCTACGATGACAAACTATCGATTTTACCTTAAATCACAATAAACTCCAGCTTCCTTCCTCTATTAGTAGTTTAATAAAAAGTGAAGCATAAAAATTTAGGACAACCATTGGCTCCGTTTGATTGCAATGGTAAGAAATGGGTGGAAAGAAAATGAATTTCAAAGAAAGTAATTGCCTAAAAAATATTTTTCAGAGAATTGTTAATTAAATGTGTTTGATTGTTATAATTTTCCACTCGAAAAATTTTTAAATTTTGTGTTCGTTTGACTTTGTTTCATATGGAAATTATCCATTAAAGTGATAATTATTTCCATAATTTTTCATCATTTTTAGTGTTCGTTAGGCTTTATTTTACATGAAAATTGTTTATTAAAATGAAATTTTTTTTACAACCGGTGATAAAATTTATTTTCATTGCTAAAAAAAACAGAATCTAGAATTGCATTTTCCCACCAACATGGTGGGAAAAGCAATTCAACAAAAACCAAGAAATAATGGCGTGAGGTAGGGAGAGGAAAACATATTACCTATAAAATTAAACCTATCAAACATGTCAAAAAGTGGGAAATGGAATTCATTTTCCATTTTCCTTGGAAAATAAGACTTATCAAACAGGACATAAATATCTCTCAATTTAACAAGAAATTCATGAGAAGACTGAATGTTCGAACATGCAATCATGTAACAAATATCATATGATTTAACGACCTTTAAAAAACATGAAAATAAATCAATCATCTCAATCCAACACAATTATAATAGAAAAATTCAAAATAACGAATTAAAACATGAGTCATAGTAAATTAGCTACATGTTCGTCCTAACATCTATTCTAACCAAGAAACATAGTGAAGAAATCAAAGCTAGAAGAAGTTGACATAAACATCACCTCTTTATTTTAGGAATAAGAATGTCTCTTCAATCTCTATATTGACTCCCACGAACCCGAAAATTGTCAAATCTTGATTTTCTCTTAATTCCTCGGATTTTCTCTTAATTCCTCCTCCTAAAGATGGTGTTTGCTGATAATGTATGGAATCCCCCCTTTGTTTAACCTAGAATTGATCTTTATAAAGTCCCCACGATGTACCATAAGTGCCCTAGGAGTTGAATATTAAAACTCAGATTTCGATTCGAACCGAGCCTCAGCTGCGATTGTAGAGTGCATTCAGCGACGAGCAGTGATTTTTTCTTTTGCTCCGGCGGTTGACTACGAACTCGCATAACTTTTAATCCACAACTCCAAATTGCAGTCCTTTTACTTTTTTTCTTTCTTTTTTTTTCTTTTGCGTAGAACTCCAAATCTTTCAAATGATATATCATTTGCCTTGTGAAATCTTTGTGCCAAACTTTATGCGCTCATTTTCCTCCCAAGGTCCGAAAGCGAGTCCTCGTTTTGCATCTTTTTGGTCCTTTTTTGTCCAAACTTCCTCCTTTTTGCATCAATCTCTTCAAATTGGGGATTGAACCTATAAAAGTTAAAAACAACACAATGTGACTAGAAATTCACTAGATTAATCTATTATAAGTTTCAGGACCTCAATAAGAGTGTAAAATGCACCTATTATTTTACATTGAAATTGATACGCAACGAGACTCTTTCATGGGTCTGAGGTGTCTTATCTTTCCTTTCCCCGAATCCAATGGAGGTTTTATATACAGTTTGCAAAGACGACATAGACTTTGAGAATGTTTGACTATAGTTAAGAAAAGGTAATGTTTTTTTGTATGGAAAATCCTCCCAAAAAAAAACCTTCGTATTTGGCAAAATGAGATACTTATAGTAAACCTTTAACCTCAGACAAACATGCTCTACCTCGTGAAAAAGTTTCACACCTAGCACAAATGAATACTTTTTACTAGGATCTCAATTCTGCCAGTAATATGAATCCAAAAAAGGAGCTATGAATGTCGAGGATACAACAAAATAATTGAGAATGTTATATACAACCAAACCATAGAAGTAAATTCATGTCATGTATAAGAGGGCCAAATACTTAATTATTTCAGGTATGGTAACTACTCCATTATTTCACTATATAAGATTGGTAGCCGACTAGTGTATTATACTCCCCGTTCTGGAGTCAGTGCTCTTTGAGAATCAAACTGAATGCCTGACATCTAGGATTTTAATATACAGATTGTAGGGCATCTATCAAGCAGTCGTATGCTTCTAGAATTACAGCCTCAGCTTCATCTGACAGAAACCCTGCTTCTAGTCGCTGTTTGATGGCCATTATTTTGAAAAATAGAATTTTGAATAGTGATTTTTTTCGGAGAACGTGGGTTTATAAAGTAGAGAAAACTTTTAGGTTTACTTGTAAAATATTTTATTGTTTAAATTCGTAGTTGAAAATGAATATGAAAATTAAAGAGTTTTAAAATAATGATTGTCAAACAGGGGCCTAGTAACAAAAAATTTACTTTCGTTTTTGAAGATATAAAATCCATCTACCTAAATGGTACAGTGCTAAACGAAAGAAATCTTGTAAAGCCATGAAACTGTAAAATAAATCATGCATTGTATCTGATCGACGCAAAGGAGAGCAGGAATAGTCGAGAAGTATCCCAATGAATAACAGATGGATCAGCTTCCAATTTAAGGAGCAATAACCTATTGAGTCAATGAATAACAGAGCTAAGTTTCTGCATAGTAAACCAATCACCCCAATAAATCAAACTTTTCCAGCTAAGAAAATCGACAGGGGTACAAAAAAACAAATTAAATAAAAGCATGATTGAGACAAAGCGAAGAAAATATGTAATGTGAAACTTCGTACCTCATCAACTTTACTTTGAAGTTCTAAGAGTTCCTGACTGTATGTGAGGCACTCAGCATGGTAAACAGCAGCCAAGGCTTTAATCAAGGCCTTCCTTCTAAAAATGCCAATCACTTCAAAAGCAAGGAATAGGTCAAGTGTGCAACAAGATGTAGTACGTAATTACAATTAAGACACTTTTGATTCTCTTTGCACAACAAACACAAATATACTCCATTCTCATGTTAATAATACCAATCATTTCAAAAGAAGGAAGGAAAAGGTCATATTTGCAAGAAGATGTAGCACTTAGTTTCAATTAAGGCACATTTATATCTCTTTGTACTACAAACACAAATATACTTCGTCCTCATGCCTGTTGTTTACAGAACAAAGAACTCATTATTTTGTTCAAACAAATCCATCAAAATAATTTTATACACACAACAGTCTTCCGGTTTTCCATAAACAAAATCTCTCCTTTCTTGAATTACTCCAGTTTCCTACAATTCTAGACCACTTCTGGTTGCAGTTGAATATCTCTTAAGTTTTGCCTTACTTTGCTTCCTACTTCAAGGAAACATTTCTGAATCCTCAACTATATTGTCATCCAGCCTTCATAAAAATTATACGAGTAAAACAAAAACCATGAGAGACTTTATTATTTCCCAGCATACTACTTCCCAACTTTAAAGTAGAAGAAACCACTTTAGAGAATAAATCAGATACGGAACATAGACCCTACACAAAACTAAAAACTAAAGTGGAAGATAGACAAGATTGGGTGACGTACCACAACTGATCTACAAACTTATTGAGCAGCTGAAGGTAGGCTAGAGGGGGCTATTCTAGTTCTATGCAATAAGAGCGACGAGGCAGAGGAAACTCTGTTAAAAAGTAGAACTAGCAACTTTTACATGAATTTTCAAGTGGATGAGACCAGTCAACCAGTCTCAGTCAAGGAAAGATAAAAGGGTCACCTGACCAGACTTTGCCCATTTGCATCTGGTGTGCTATACCCGGACTAGAAGTCTGGTTGTTCGTGGCCCACATGACACATGGGTAAAACCATACACAACAGAGCAAATTGACCAAAATACTCAAACCCTACTGGAACACACTTCATCCTTGACATTAATCAGGATCATATGTCTATCTCCTAAATCTAACTGAAATTATTTTTTTAGCATGATTGGGAGTGGTTAAATTGAAGTTTAAGGAATTATAAGTGGTGGGACGTACAGAATGTGTAGTTAATAAGTAGATAGTATTTGTAGATCCTACAAAACATGTGGATAATAAGCTTGGCCAAACATACACGTATTCATGACCAAGTCGATGTAATAACCATAAAAGCACCCTCCTCCACGAAAATCTCTGTGAAGTGGGAAAAGACATGAGGGCATTCCATATCCCACCATCAACACGAGCACACCCTCCCCAAATGTCAGTTAAACGTTTATAAATAGCGATGCCTAGTTTACAAGCAGACATTCAACCATAAGCAAAAGCTCGCACTCACAGAAGCTGGACATCCTATGTATCATTCTAGCTCAATCATAAGAGTATGACAGGATAGCCACCCTATCAAGTCCAGCATGCTAATGAATACAGCACTCCACAATGTCACTGTAGATTTCAAGCATCTACAATCATGTGTACTAAAAGTTCATCCTAAACAAAA